CTGTAATGACTGGAACAGCTGCTATACTCTTAATTTCACAACATAGGGACAGACTTAACCATAGCTTCAATTGGGAAATTGTGAGCCTCCTAGACCAAGCCAAGTCCAAAAATGCTAAAGAATTGCTGGAAGCCTGTCATTCAGAGAATCAGACATCAACAGGTACATAGAGATAAACAACATGTATATATACCATTTAAAAGAGACAAGCCAAAAAGGAAACAGAAAGACCAAAACACTTTCTCACCAGCAGGCAACACCCAGATAAACAGATTAACACCAAGATTAAAATTACACAAACAATCAAGAAGTAAATAATAACTTAATCAATATCAATTCAGACAACTGAACTAACAGTAAACGACAGTTTAATCAAGGAACCATCAAGAACACTCTTACCAACATGACAGGGAAGACATTAGTATATAAAAAGAGAGTAAAACTCACTCCCTTCTAGCACTCCTCATGTTACCTAATTGGGTAATGAAACCTCTGCAAGAAAACAACCAAGCCCAGACAGCATCAAAGACTCTACAGTTCAACCTGAGTTACAAATTTCTATTGGTATATATTTAAAATCGAGATAATTACTGCAAATATTCTGAAACACAAACCTTTATTGATTTTACAGCCTGCAAATGAGTTGACCTTTCTGGGCAGATTAACTTTACAGATTACATGTTTTTCTACATGTTCTCCTCACTGAACTTCAAAAAGCATTAAGTGTCTAACGTGCAAAAATTGGTAATACTGTATATATGCAGTTAAATAAAGAAATGTATTTGTACCAATATCAATTATTTCAAATTTGTAATAGTAATTGCTATAAATCTCTGAGTAATCCATTCATACTGGTATCACTGGGCTTTGATGTTATTAGACAGAGATACCTATAATGATATAATCAGTGCAGGCAGAATGATACATTTATAAACCAAATCACTATCTAAACTAATTAAATTGCAACTACTACAAATGGGAAAAAAGTTGGCCTTCAGAATTCTGTTCAATGTTCACATGGGTAAATATAAGAGGAACATAAGATAACCACAGGGACATAAGATCTGAAATCCAATATAAAATATTACTTATTGTAAAGCACCCTTTTAACTATTAACTGCAAAATTACAAAAGGTGAGCACAGAATCTACAGCAGATTGAAGATATGTTTGCCCCAGGGGCAAATTCACTTACTTTCCCTACCGGTTCACAAATGTGCAGAGGCTGAAAATCATTGCAAAAAAGGGACGTCATGACATCCTTGCGGATGGGTGGGACTTTGCGCAGTCGGCCCTATTGTATTGTGCGATACAGTAGGAATCGGTTGAATTTCACCCCTGGTTTGCCCCCCCCCAAAACAATCTGTTAAATGTGATGTTCTGGTAGCAGAAGTAAAGAACCAACCACAGATACACAGGAGTAAATTCTAATGAGTTCAGTATTTATTTCCAAGGCAGGACCTTATATACCTATAAGGTCCTGCCTTTCACCAGTGAAAATACTAGCTGCAGATCTCTTTTGCAAATTACATTTTAGCAATGTATAGATCGAACTAGCATTTGAGGCCTTATTTCTAAGAATATAGGTATATATTCATCTATCTGCTTTTCTCAGTTGAAAAGAACTCATTTTTGTCCTCATAATCATCACAATAAAGTAAACACAGCTACAAATGATGGAAACACAAATACTGGCCTGAGAAAGAGGCATTTACACAGAAAATACTTTTTATCATTTTATTGCTAGGAAAGGGGACTTGACTGTTCAGTACACTGGTTTATTTAGGAAAAAAAACATGCAGTACAAATGTGTATGAAACAGCAAAAGAGGACACCTGCCCCATTCCAAATATTTCTGCCTCTCAGCTCTCATGCATGCTGTTTGTCCTATTAATAATAACAAACAAAACACATGCTTCTAATGTTGGAATGAATAAATGGTTCAAAATAAACTTTCTTGCATAGATCACAATTTCTCCATCTGCTAAGAATGACAGAATGAAGCCTATTACCTCTAAGCATACACTTAATTACTTAATATTTATACTATTAAAAAAATAAGCACTACATATCTGCCTACTATAAAAGATTATAGACAAAAAGATCATTGTTAATTGCCCAAAAGTTAAGTACATTATATTGTACAAACATGCTTTTTATCTTTTCAAAGTGTTTAACCTTGCAGCATATTTATCTAGTCAATTAACAGTTCCAGGTATAAGAAGAACAAAATCCAGAACTCATGTTAACATGGTTACATGCAATTAGTAAACAACACACAAACATATTTTGCTATATAGGTTGAGTTACAACCATTCATTTAGGAACCACCCAAAATTACAATGCCATTGAAAAAAATGATTTTTAAGCAATCCTCACATTTATGATTGCTACAGCATCTCCACAGTGATCAAAAGTTGAAAGCTTGGCAACTAGCATATAGTTATGATAGTTGCAGTGTACCCGAGTCATATGATTATAGTTTGCAATCTTCCCAGCCAGCTTCCAATAAGCAAGTCAATGGGAAAGACCAGATTCACTTAACAACCATAGAAAAAAGGTTGTAAAATCAGGTGTGATTACCTTGCTTACCAACAGAAATTCTGGTTGCAATTGTGGATGTAAATCAAGGACTACATGTATTGCCTCTTAATGGTGGTGATGTGTTCCTGAGTCACTGACAGTTGGGTCACTCAAAGTATGACTGTCATCCCAGTCAAATATATATGAATAATATATGAACAATTCAATATGGTGAAATTAACATTTTTTAAATCTTAGTCATCAGGAAATTAAAGTGCACAGGAATCAGGAATTTTGGATAAGAAGATTGTATTGCTTAGTACTCAGAACATAAAAAACAAAAAGGAATGTCACTGCTATTACAGTTAGAAAAGACAAAAGGAAATATTTGGGATCAGTGTAATCAATGACAGAATAATATCAAATGGACTTTGCAGATGATACTTTAATATGATGTTTAAACAAATTTATACTCCAATCACTGGGGCAGAAAAAATGAGGTCAAGTTTACGGTCAAGTTGAATAGGAAATCAACAGAACATGTAAGCAACATATGCTGCATGTGATTGGAGACTTGAATGTTAAAGTTGGAAACATTAAGGAGAAAAATGTAGTTGAACTGTTTGACGTAGGAACAAAAATCAAGGAGAATAGTCTATAAATTATTAGTAATCCAAGGATTTCTTCATGGCCTTTCTTGCAACAATCAAAATAAAGCCTATATACATAGACATCATCACATGGAATACACAAAAATAAAATTCAGTACATTATAGATACAAGGAGGTGGAAGACCTTAATTATAGTAGCAAAAATGTGGTGGGAGATGACTGCAGGAGAGACCATCAACTGAACATATGCAAGTTCCAAATCAAGCTATAACAGAAAAAAATCCACTCAGTTTCTCAGATATGATCCTGAGCATATCTACCATTTTCAAGAATAACATTAAGAACCACTCTGAAGCCCATACCTTAATAATAGCAAATCAGAGAAACTGTAGAATGAAATCAAAGAAGTTGTTAAGAATGAATGTGAAAAGAGACTGCCAAAGACCAAGAAACAGAAGAAAGTAAACCAGATATCAGAACAAATGGTGGAAACTGCTAAGAAAAAAAGAGAAGCCAAAAGCAAGAAAAATAAGAAGGTGCAACATGATTAAACAACAAAGGAGTAAGACAACACTGCATACTCTCTTTATTTCAAAGGCAATCTAAATAATATATATTGAATATATATTATGGGAAGCAGTATTGGAAGGACATTAGTACAATTTTAAAACTGTAGAAAGAAACATCAATAACCTGCACTATGATAGTGATAATGCTATTCTGAAATCTGAAAATGCAAATGATGTACGAGGTGTAATAATGAAAGTTAAGGAACACAATGAAAAAAATGGGATTAAAATTCAATAGAAGGAAGACTAATCACCACCATAACAGATAAAGCAACTGGTCTTAGAATTGACAATTAATATATTGAAATGATTAATAACCTTCTGCTTTTACAATCAATCATCAATAGTAAAGGAACCAGCAATGGACTGCAGAATAGTGCATAGTAGGCAGCAACGAAGATCTTAGATATTCAGATGTTGGGATGCCCATCTATTACAAAGATCAAAATCACACAAGCAGTGATTTTCCCTGTCAAACACCAGAAAGCAAAAGTCAGACTTTGATAAAACAGAATAGAAATAGTTTTGATGCTTCTGAACTTTGGTGTTGGAGAAGTCTCTTGAAAATGCCATGGATAACCAAGAAAAGAAACAGATGAAGGATGAATGATAAAACTGTGGTTCATAGCTCTATGTAGAAAACAATAAACAATGTTTATTAATTTTGACTAATTTCTCCAAATTAAGTACAAAATTGTTACAGAAACCATTTATCATGACTAGATTTTAATCGGAAATCTGCAAAATATTTGGGGAATTGATTGTATATAAATTATGAAAATAAAAAGAAAAAAAATATATTAAGATTATAAGGTGGAAGCACTGTGATAACAGACAATGCAAGTATGCAAAAATATTTCATCATTAGTATCCTAAACTACATAAAGAAGAAAAATTTCCCCACATTAATAAATATTCAAAGAAACAAAATCTATTGAAGATTATGGAAAACAGAAACAAATAATGACTGGACCTAGAACAGTGAAGGAAGATAATTGTCTCCTATTTGACATATAAGGGATCTGACACCTGCATTCCAGTTCTTAATATTGTGAAAGAAAGACAACAGCAGTAACTCTAGTTTGACTAGTAGTAGTTTTAAACTTCTTTGAAAAAAGAAAAACTGTACCTCATCACAAATCAAATATAGCACCCAAGAAAGTTCATTATTTTAGTATATGTATTTATACCTGAAAATCTCTCAAGGAAGTTAACAGAGGGAGCTCATGTGCACAATATATCATGTACTTGACTCACACTTTAGGATTTGGAATTTGCAATTTCTTGCAGTTGCTTACTTGTTCTTTGACTGATGCCAGAATGGCAGACGTGGTTTCTGTTTCAGATCCATCTCCATTCGATGTATTCAACACGGGGCTAAGGGAACTTGTCTTGTCCGATGACGATGGCTGGTCAGGAACAGGCATAGCTCCTACAATAAGAAACAACAGATAATTACATCCAGTGTTTTTATCAAGAATTCAAACTATTTTTTTCTTTTCTATGGTAGCTACAAAATATTTCCTGAGATGTCTCCATTTTCATTTCTGCCATGTAGTATTATGAGGAGACACTATCTACTACAAATTTCTCCTCAAATGTTTGAAATATCAATCAGTGGGGTCACCAAGTGGGACCTAAAAAAATTAGTTGTGCCCAACTTGTGTATGGCCATAGACTAGAGCAAGATATCTATGATATTTATTTTTTATTTACTTTCAGCTGCATTTTGGCCCAGAAACGCAATGTAGGGGAGAATTGTAGTATTACATCTCTACAGCTTTATTAAGTAGCTAGGCTGAGGTAACAACTAAGGTATCTTGTAGAATTTCCCACAGACACCTGTTTTGTCATAATGAAAATAGAATTTTGGATTCAGCTTAGTTTTTGTCTCAACCACCACTTTTCTTCTTATGTTCAACTGTGAGACAGCAAGCATGCCAAGATCTTCTAGATTTCTGATTGTAAAGGAATTGAATTTAAATGCCTTTGATCCAATTATTACTAATTTTGCCAATAACAATGATATATTTAAACCTCTGAATTTACTAGGTTTAAAAGATCTACCTTTCTGATTAAAATTGTAGATTACACTTAATAACTAAGGGCTAGTTTTATTAAATGTTCTAACAAGCTAATATAAAGTAACATAATCTCTTTATATGCTAAGGGAATTAATTATCCACAACTTCCTTCATCCACAATATCATGTATTATATTTTAACTGCTTGTTAAGAGAAATGGGACCAACTCTGCAGTATTTGAAGACATTTATGTAAAAAAAGTAGCTAAAATAACAGAGAATATAATGATTCTGTACAATTTTGTGTACTTCACTAGAATCTAGAATATTTAAAGGCAGACAATCTGTTTTGAGACTTGAATAACACACACACACAATTTATATATTTATATATATTTATTTTCAGGTGTGAAGGACCATAGAAAGCATAATAGTGAGGGATGACATCACTGGAGAAAGCAAGAGAGAGGGGGAAAAGAAAAAGAGAAGTCCCTATTAACATGCTTATTTTTTTTCTCACATTTTACAAAATTCATGACCTTCTGTTTTCATATTATATGCTATGTTCTTTTCCTTATTGTTAATTTTAGGAGAAAAGAAATAATAAAATTTAATATTTATTCATGAAGAATTTTATACCTCTTTAGCAATTTATTCTCTTCTTTAAGTAAAAAATTAAGGTGATATTGTTAGCAGTCAAAGAAACATTTTAAAAAAGAAAGTTTTATAAGTCATCCCCCTAAGCTATTGAAATTTGCTAATGAATTTGTACAATGACTGTGAAATCAATAGATATCTAATTCTTACAATACTTCTATAGTATTAAGAATTTTCAAAATAATACACAATTGTTCCTTTAATTTAAAGAAAGAAATTATAAATCCACAAATTGCTTAGCGCATTGTAAGCCGCCCTGAGTCTCCGGAGAAGGGCGGCATATAAATCAAATTAAAAAAAAATAGTTATAAAATGTATTTAAAAATGTAAGTGTCCCAAATTAATACTTAATATATTTCCAATTTAAGTCATTCTGGCTTTCTTTTCTGTTTAGGAATGTGCCTCATTATGCTGCCTGCAAAATGAGCTTCTATACTAGAGAGCAGCAGATTAAACTATTGGAACAGGACAATGTGGAATTGCATTTAAAGTGTTTTCAAATATTAGTGCCAGAATAATATCCTCTTCTCTTCAGCCACTGAAAACAAACAATGCAATTTGATTTTCATTTTTACAGTTGTTTATTTATTCTTATTCTATCAAACCTAAGTGACTAAAGAAAAATTCTGATGGAAATATAGAATATCTTGTGCATTAAATAAGTATAAATCATTAGTCCTAGTAGTTTCTACAAACTGGTAAAGTGACATTAGTATTTTTTTTAAAAAGGTATTAGTTAAAACGTTACCCTCTTCATCCAATCCACTTTTCTAGAGACATAAATGACTGCACAGCCACAAAAATTAAAACACAGGAATGATGATTAGGACACTAGGAGATAAGAATAGTACAAATAATCTGTGAGATGTGACAGGTCACTTAATGGTTGTTTGAAGTTACAATATATCTTCTAAAAGCTATATATGACCCTGTTTCAAACTTAGGCAGCTGCAGCCTCCCAGCAGTCATTCGCCCTTACTACCGACCATAGGGAAGTTGCAGAATTCCCCTCCCCACTTCTCCCATCCATCCTGCCCTGACAGGACCTCAGAGCACTTAGAAAAAGTTCACCTCTAAGGAAAAAAACAACTACCTACCGTGTTTCCCCGAAAATAAGACCTTGTCTTATATTTTTTTGAACCCTGAAATAAGCGTTTGGCCTTATTGCCATGCGCTCAAAAGCCCGATTGGGCTTATTATCAGGGGATGTCTTATTTTGGGGGAAACAGTGTAGTCACAAAGGGATTCTCTCTGGCAGCAAAAAAATTGGAAACTTTTAGGCTGCATGCCTATCTGCCATGGTCGTTTGATGCATATTTGTGCTGTAGCCACTTTTGCTTTTGGGCTGAACATTTTCTTCATCTCCTCAAGGCAAACAAGCTGCTGGACTTTTGTTTTTGCTTGCTTCCTTCCTTTCCCCTGCTGAACTCTTCAGCCTGGAATAATTCATCAAGTAACTTACAGATTTTACCACCCTCTGTCCAGGGGCAGAAGGAGGGGATTAAGCAAGGGAAAGGTTTTGGGAAGCTGGTCCTGACGTTGCTGCCTTTGCTTCCCCAAAAGCTAGTAAGAGCGAGGAGAATTTTGCAGGTTCCTGACAGCCAGCTGACTGGGACAGAGGCCCAACCCACAAGCTCAGCTTCATTGGTCAAGCGTGAAGGCTTATTTGGAAGCCTCTTTGGCATTGGAATGTGGCATTGGGCCTAATCCAGCTGGGCTCTTCTCCCCTGGTGGTCTCTCTTTGGCTCTGTCTTTGCTGGTCTGCCTTCTTTATGGACCCAGCTGATGGTGGGCCTTCCAGGGCTTCCTTCATCCTTGAGATATCCCATGCTTTTTTAATGACCTACATGTTAATTTAACAGTGGCATCAGGGAGAGCAACAGTGGGATCATTACATGGTGGTGGGGGTGGATCTCACTTAATGGTTGTCATAACTTCTGACTGTAATGGGCAGACCTCATTATGGTCATAGTAAAGACTGCCTATATTGCAAGGTAACACCTAGAGGAAATATTACATCAATAGCAATTTTCTTCAAAGAACACAGCCTCAAAGGATGTTTGTAGTACAACCCCATTACCTCATCACTGCATCAACAATATAACAATGGTGAAATCCATTTTTTTTTTACTACCGGTTCTGTGGGCATAGTGGGTATAGATTGGTGGGCGTGGCAGGGGAAGGATACTGCAAAATCTCCATTCCCACCCACTACTGGGGGAAGGATATTGTAAAATCTCCATTCCCACCCCACTCTGGGGCCAGCCAGAGATGGTGTTTGCCGGTTGTCTGAATTACTCAAAATTTCCACTACCAGTTCTCTGAACTACTCAAAATTTCCACTACTGGTTCTCCAGAACTTGTCAGAACCTGTTGGATTTCACCCCTGCAATATAACCAATCAATAATTCTGCTATATAGAATTCTATTTACTGTATATTCTAATTTGCATAACTCTTTATAGAGGAATTTTATCCCTACCTCTTTCAGGCTTTTGTTTAGGCCACCTTCAGTATCATACTGAAACTATTTGTCCTTCAGTGAAATTATGTCAAGCCAAAAGACAATGGATAACAATTATTACAATAAGCACAAAAAGCATTGCATACATATGATGCATTCAGCAATTCTTTTTGTCTTTGCTAATCCTAGGTGCTCAATATGGCATTTCATTATTGTTCCTATTAATTAGTTAGTTATTATTCTATAAATAACTGTTACTATTAATGTCAGTCTGACATTTTCTATGTTTTAATAAGACTAATACTTCTGAAAGTATTGCCCTAAATTTGAAAAAAATCCAGTTTTGTGGAAAATATTAACATTTGCTTGTGGAGTTCTTTTATAGAATTTTATCAGTAAATTTCTGATTAATACTAATTATGTGGGCCTTTGCATTGCTTATAATTTGTTGAACCTTTCAGCTTTTCAAACTAATTTTCAGATGCTTAATTAAAACAATTTTAAGTTATATTCTCAGGTGATTATATTAATATTTCATGGTTACATAAGAATGTCCCTCCCCCCCCACACACATCGTAGTAAGGAATTGAAAAAAAGATGGATAAAATTTCAACTATGATTATCATTCGGTTGTGAGAATATCTCATGGCTAGGCAAATTTGACTAACCAAATACCAGGTTTTTATTATGATTTGCTCTGTGTGGCTTTGCTTAAACAGTCAACAGCCTCTTGCAAGTTATTTTTTCATCTTCAACAGTTCTTGTTTATTTTGTTGGCATGCCAAAAAAAATCACTTCTATTGTTTCTAAATACCCTCAACTCCTTTATTCACTAAATAATAAATCTATGTGTATAGCCCATGACTTACCAGGCACAATTTACATATGGATTTACTAACAATTCTTAGGAAGAGCCATATTCTAGCAAGACACCTGCTGATTCATCATACTTTCTTCTACAGTAAAAATCCAGCATTTGAATTCTATATTTGAGCTCTGCTTACTAATTGCTCCTAAGAAATAATTTTAATCTTCTGATTCTCATGTATATTTCCAATTCTATGCATATTCATCCCCAAATCCCTCAAATTAAAAAGGTACAGTAATCTTGGAAATCTTGAAAGATTTCCTATTAGAAATCTCAGAGGCATTCAAGCTATCAACACTTCTATCTTCCTGGGAGCTTCAGTACAATTGTATCTCTTGAATATATCATTTTTGATCTTATGAAGACTGTTTCCAATGTTTATATGTTTTATAGACTCTTTATGTTGTTCCATGCCCTTCTG